TACGATACACCGATTTACAACAGGTTGATGTACTGCCCGCGAACCCGACTTACAACAAATCTACGAGCGACTAGCAAGGAAGTCACGTGACGTGTTATCTACATAATTTATTCTACTCTCACAGGTCCAGTCTCACGGGGCTTTTAATGACCCGAGTACGAGTACGACGATGGGCCGTAACAGCAAGATGAAGCATTTTTGCTACACAAGAAGCCTGACCAAGTCTGAATCGGTAGCGTTTAAAAGTGGAGGTTAAGTTAAGTATTGGAATCCGTACCGAGTATATCTTTACTTCTGCCGGCCACTATATAATGTAAAATCTGTTACTAAATTTGCATGTTAAGCTTATTTATTTGAGCCTCCGGAAATTTTTTTGATAGTGAGGTTTCAAGCTCTCCATTCGGGCTCGGGCGAGAATGCATGTCCGTAACTTTTCAGTCACCGCGGGAGAAAGTTTATAATAAAATTTGTTCTTTTGTGGCTCTTTATCCTGACTTTAGTATATCTGCCGTAAATCTGAAATTGAGTATCACAGAAATTTATGCCAAAGCAATCGACAGCGACTTTCTGTCCTAGCGACTTTCCTCGACAGCGACATTTTTTCCTAACCTACAAGGCGACGGCAGGCAGCTTCAGGAATGACAAACAAAGCCATAACATACCCCCTTTTGAATGCCTCTTTCATGATTTACCCCAGAGAGAGAGAGAGAGCTTGTTGCTTTTAAGCAACAAGCTGTGTTTAAAAACACAGTCATTGACATGATTCATCTCGGCTAAGTGGCAAACAAAGAAAATCATTCAATTAACACAGCTTTGAACGAATATTAATGAGTCGCAGTTCTTTTGTTTGTAAACGGATCTAAAATTTACTCTGAGATGACACAACTTTGGTGCGGCTGTCGAAGGTAAAATCCTCTCTTGGGTTGAAGCAGGATTCCCTGTATTTGCTGAATTAAAGGAACCTGAATCAAACTACAGAAGCTAGGCTAAATACGAACAGCGGAATTTACCTTTGAAGGACATGGCCACGTGTCATGTTCAAAGGCAGGAGGGAATTGATCAAGATCGGCTCCGTTCTTTCGTATAAATCATATTCCTCTCAAGTAAATTTTTGATTTTTCGTTCTCTGTCTCTCCGGAGGACTAGGGATTAGAATCCTGGAAGTCATCTTCCTCTGTTACTACAATCCATTTAGGACAACTCGGCAACCACACCCTATAGTGTCCTGCGACGCAGGCTAGCCCAGTTGGGTTGGCGAGCTATTTTTGTAATCCAACAACAATAACAATATTATTATGAACTGCCATATAAATGTTTTGTACTTTAAGTTGCTACATTTCTAGGGATAACTCCTGTTTCTTGCTTTTTTTGTTCCCAGCTTCTCAAGTTGAATGTTAGATACTCAGTATTTGAAAGGCTGCCCTGAAATTAATTAACAAAGTATGTATATGCTAATGACAAATTTATCATCTTTACTGGTACAGCATATAGGGAAAAACAATTGGTTTCATAACAGATGACAAAAGTCTTTGAGGGACAGTCAAGTTTTTGATCTAGAGGAATAAAACCTTGCTTACTTTAATGCCAGCCAGAATTACTATCTCAAATTTCTGCCTGATTGAAGTTGGAATCTGCAGCTCTAACATCTAAATTCATGTCTTGAAAGTCATGAATGCAATGTTTAGAACTTAAGGGTGTTCTATATTATTAAGAATGATTTAGAATTCACAACCCGAATAGTTAATTGGTACATGCAAAAACATCTTTGCTGTTGAAATAATTAATAAACAACATCAGTGCTTGGGACTGACAATGCTTCACATTATTTTCATACTCAACCCCCGACCACAGTTTATTTCTCCACTTGAAAAATAATTTTCTGCCTAAGCTCAATTTTTCCTTGGCACATTTTTCAATCAGCTGTTATTTTTCCTTCCTTTCCCTTAAATTGATGACCACAATCGATCTAAGTAAAAGTGTATCAGTATAAGGTTCTGGTAAACATCTGCCCACCTACCCTTCCTAAGTATGAAGTTAGCTGATTCATATTGTGACAAACTTTAAGCTGTTTTGAAAATTATCAAAGCAAAGAAAACTTTGAACCACAACATCGACACAGTTCTGATTCAGACTGTTTTCGCTTTGGCTCGCTCAAGCTGAAAGTTTATGTTGTTTTTCACTAGCTATAAAAGTCCCTTTCTATTGTATCTGAAGGATTTATACTTATAGCTACACGGTTTTCCTCCCGTGGCTCCCATGGTTCAGGAATAAGTTGAGCCCAAACCTGGATGCCCACGAAAAAACGAAAAGATATCATTTAATCTTGAGTTTATAAAAACTTTAACGACTGTTAAACTACGCTCCAAACACTTTATACTAAGAACCGTCAATTTGTTTGTAAAATCTTACCTCAATTGTTTCCCCTTTGTCTAAAAAATAATTAGACTTGAAGTTATCGAGTAGCGCTTCGAGTTTAGTGAAAATAGTAAAAGAGAAGAACTGAATAAACCAGGCATTTTTACCGATAACATTAACCTCACAAAGCTTGCTGCTTTCACTTAGAAATTTCAGAGAGCAACTTATAACTTGAATATAAAATTCATGTTTCATGCAAAATTTCCCTTCCTTTCATTTCACTGACCTTGAGGCAATTTCCACCGACCAAAGGGTTTCAAAACTGAAGAATTTGATGCTCGATGGAACATCATGGCTTCGCAAAACGAGAAGGGACTGGCACGGGGCGAGTAGTAATTTGGGTGGACAGTCAACAAACAGTAAGCTGGGTGACAAGTTTGTGCGTTTTTAAATTTTTATGCGATATCATGGACTGGAGAAAATGCCGATTCTAATCTCCAAAGTAAAGTATGGTAGCTATCCTTCAAAAAATATTCCATACTTTATCCATTTGTTGTCCCTACACGTTTTCTACAGAATAAGTGGTCGTACGCTACAAATAAGCGGTCTGGCGCTACCAATTGGGGGTGTGCCACCAATAAGAATGAAGTCAATGCTTTGGAATCTATACATGGCAGAGCTGCTTGAGTCATATATAACCTTCCCCGAGACTTACCCTCTGTAGACGTTCGAAAATCGATCATGTGGGACTTGTTATTTGACATGTACAAGGCCAAGATAGCCACTTTAATTTATAAAATATTTCATCGCATAACTCCATCATGCTTAGAACGTCTAATCCAGAGGCGACAGAACAAGTACGACTTTCGTCATCACCATCGCGTGAGTTTTCTGTGTTTCGAAACGCACAACATGAAGAACACCATCTCGTACAGGGGATCCCATGCTTGGAACTTGTTAGATCCCTCAGTGGCCAACACAAGAGCTAAAATCGCCATAAACTCTCAAGCCCGCAAAAATCTCAATTTCTCAGCTGAATCACCCCTTGCAATGAATATGTTCAATGACATTGATTTCGTCTATCACTGACTAATAATCAATATAATAATACTGATGCATTTATATTTTTTAGATAACACAAGAATTGAGTACTTTTTTACTTTTTAGGTAGAGATTTTTTAATTAACAATTAATGAATGAGGCTGAGTATCTTATGAAGAATTATGGAGATCGATGAGGGTGTTATCCGTCGAGGCCGTAGGCCGAGGCGGATAACACCCCCCGAGATCTCCATAATTCTTCATATGATGCGAAAGCCAAATTCAATAATTGTTTAATTAGTCATTCAAAATAATTCCTAGTTTAAAAACAAAGCTAAAACATGCTTACCTCCATCGATGTTAAGTTCACCTTCGATAGTGTACGTTTAGGGTTGTTCAGCTCCGCAAATATTCTCCAAATAGCAGGTGTCGCCCTTCGAGTTGTGTTCTTTGTTCTTGCCATGTTTTAGCTACAATTTCGCCTAGTTCTTACTCTTGAAACGAGTGAAATGTCTGCCATATTTTGTTTTCTCAACCAAAACAACTCAACCTCGTCCCCACGTCCCCATGTCTTCTCGGTTAACGGTGCATTAACCTGCAAAAACGCTGCATTTTTGACGTCATTTCCTCGTTAAACACAAAATTCTTCCAAATTTGGTCATCAGTAACTGGTTATGGTGAATTATGCGTGTGCTTTTAGCCAATCAGAATCGGGGAAATATTTTGAATGAATAATAATTTCTATTATGTATTTTCATTAGCATATATACACGGCTCCATAAACTGTATTAGCTTCAATATTTATTTTAACCGTGTTTAAATAAAAGTTGTTGTTATTATTGAGAGGATTTGTTGAAGTTCTCATTAGATTTATTGTTTTTCATCATGACTTTTATTCTCGTCACCAATGTGTAAAAAAATGGTATTCCAAGGAGAACTTTGCTGCTCATCACTCTCTGGGCTTAATGGGTTAAAAATATAGTGATAAAATCTCGCATTTGTTAGCTGTTCTTCCACTGAGTAGCCATCGCAAGCGCTCGCCTGAAAACAATTTGATAATCTGTTTTTACAAAATTCGCCGTCCCTTCCCCTACCAGGTAGACTGCGAGCAGTCTCTTATTTTTTTTTTGAATCACAGTAATTTTACTTTTTCACTCGCCACGCGTGGCCCTGTGGAAAGAAGGACCACCGCTCGTGGTTTACCTACCAGGTGTAACTACCAGGTGCAATCAAATATACTGATCATGCGCGTAAATTGCGAGCGCAGTGTGAGGTGTACTCGACAAACCTGGGATCACAGTTCACAGGCAGCGCGTAGACGCCTTATAGGCTTTATGAAGACAAATCAGACGGACAGATTCCCCGAGAATTCGTGTCAACGCCAAACAACGCCTGTTAGGCGAGCTAAAATCTGGTGAGGAAATTCTCTTCTCTCTTGTATACCCTCTTCCTTTCATGGACTTCAAAAACAGGGACTTATTTAAAGTTTACATGAGTCATCGAAGATTGGCTTTGCTACTTGCTGTCAGCCAGGGCTTTTGTACCGATTTCTTGGAATAGGTTGAAAAACGAAGAAAAGAAGCACATTTTTTATCAACGTTTTCACCTTATTTTAATTGTTATTGCTTACATCCCGTATAAATTTACAGCGAACTTTTCTGGCTCCTTAGTGCTAGCAGACCAGATAACGCAGTGTGGTTTAAGTCTAGTTAAAAGTATATACTGATTTAACCATTATTATTTGGTTTTCGTAGCTCATCGGCATGGTGGCCATGCCACTGTGAGAGGTATCTTCTTGTCACTTGGTGCACACAGCGCATGTCAACTCTCGACCGCTGACATAAGGAAGACATGGTAGCGAGCCACAAACACCTTCCACAGGGTACAGCAAAGCACCATTCCTGTCGGCATGGCTACCAGGAACATACTCTGGGTCCCCGTCAACACAGATGAAGTCGGTTGGATGCCCGTGGTTATGATATGCAGTCATCAGGTACCCCTTATACTCCTTGATCCATCCAGACGGACAGTCATTCCTAGCGGGCATCATGAGCATCGAGCCACGTGACTTGACGAAGCAGACAACGCATACTGCTTCATGATTATGAATATTTCTCTTAAAAGGGTTTCCGTTGCGATAATATACTTCATATTCAGTGCCGTACATGTATCCGGAGTTCTGATGGCCATTTGTGTACTTGTCATACTTTGGATTGTGTGGAAGGCAGAGGTAGTTCGCTCCACCACCTCGGTTAGTGAAAAACTCTCCACCCATTATACCTGATGCAAGGCAAAAAAAATTATCAACAATTGTTCTTTGTAATCGACGTGGGTAGTGTTTTGTTTTTTAATCTCTTCTGTCAACTCGCCAAGTTAATGAAAAGGTTTCTTGTTATGTTCTTTGCAGGTGCATGAAATGGCGGCTAGCGGTTGAGAGAGGCACGGCGCCTTTTCTCTGTCCTGCTGGTTATTTGAAATGAATTTTTGGCGAACATTTGCTTTCACTTTCTTTTGCCATAAATTAACTTTTATTTCTAGGCAACTGAATTCCCCTTGTAAGGAAATGCTGAGTTAACAAAATGGCATCTCTTACTCGAGTAAACTGTTGTTGCAAACGAAAAACATTCTGCCAAAATAAATCGGAAAACTCAGTTAAAATAGTTTGAAATCCTTTCTTTCCTTCAAAAACATCAACCATGCGATTCTGTTGACTAGTTCTTACTCAGAACATTGGCAAAACACCTAGCTCACGCAATATCGCTAGGATCGAGGTGAAAACTGCTGAATTGTCAAAGATAGGGAACTCAGATTGCCTAAACACTAAGACCACAAACCCTAATGGCTGTAACATTTTCAGTACACAAAAATTCAATACAATACTCTAGAATTACAATGTCCTTACTTTTTTGCCATTTCATTTTCTGCCTATTTCTATTGATCACTAAAAAGAAAAGCGTACTTGACTACAAATTTATGAAACTACATTTCAGCAAGCGGTAATCATTTATGCTTCATGGGTGATTATCCAATGTTCATGGATCCGATCGACGACATAGACTGTAAAAAAACTTTATGTGGGATACAGTTTCATGTGACCTCGACGTAAACAATGCCGTGAGAGCGCGCATTGTTGGGAAACACAAGGGGCGTTTTCTCATACCCAGATTTTACTCTGTCTTATGCTTGAACCAGTTACACTGCTGGAAAAATGCAACAAAAAGATAACTTGAAGAGATGCCCGGGTCATTGACCAGTAAAAGTAACAAGCTTAGAGAAATTTCATAGTTGCCACTTTTAAATTTGATTAATAAGTGGAATAAAAATCCTCAGCTTATCACTCTTTCTGTATTTAGAATCATGGCATAATAGTAACTATCATGTAAGCTTCTTTTCGCATACCTTTATAAACTATCTGCGCACCACTAGGACATGTGGTCCTTCCCCAGCGAACGTACTTCACTCCTGATGTCCCAGATCCATCCCGTCCCTTTTCTCCTTTTGCACCCTGTGGTCCCTGGGCTCCAGTCTTCCCAACTGCTCCCTGGTTTCCTTTAGGACCAGGAGGGCCTGGGAATGACTTGTTGGTTCCTTGTTTTCCCTGTCCTCCTACAAAGTATAAAAACGACCCCAAGCACTCAATCTCGACGTATTACATCATTCGGCTCAAAATTAGAGCTGTTATGAGACTATTTTTTCCTATGGGATTCTGACGATTACAAACCACGAATATAACGGTTGAAAAATGGCCGGCTTGCAAAAGACCCAAAAACTCCACAAAAAAGAAACAAGATGTTAGCTGAAATTCGATTAGTGGAACTTATTGTTTACAGCTAGCCAGGTGGCTAACTTGTAAATGTTGGTATGTTGAAAGGGGAGTTTCTTTTCCTCTTTTTCCTACATTCACAGTTGGTGTCATAAAAGCTTCAGTTTTTCCCTTGATCTCTATGTCGTTTGTCCTTCATACCTTTTGATCCTTTTGCTCCAATTGGTCCTGGTTTCCCAGGAGCACCAGCCTGTCCCTGTTTCCCAGGAGTACCAGCAGGTCCCTGTTTCCCAGAAGCACCAGCAGGTCCCTGTTTCCCAGGAGCACCAGCCTGTCCCTGTTTCCCAGGAGTACCAGCAGGTCCCTGTTTCCCAGAAGCACCAGCAGGTCCCTGTTTCCCAGGAGCACCAGCCGGTCCCTGTTTCCCAGGAGCACCAACCGGTCCCTGTTTCCCAGGAGTACCAGCAGGTCCCTGTTTCCCAGAAGCACCAGCAGGTCCCTGTTTCCCAGGAGCACCAGCCTGTCCCTGTTTCCCAGGAGTACCAGCAGGTCCCTGTTTCTCAGAAGCACCAGCAGGTCCCTGTTTCCCAGGAGCACCAGCAGGTCCCTGTTTCCCAGGAGCACCAACCGGTCCCTGTTTCCCAGGGGGGCCAGGTGGTCCAACTCGTCCCTTTCCGGTGTTCTGCATATGTTGTCCTGAAAAAGAAACACGCTGATGTCAAAACCGCGTTCCCGATGCTTTTTCGCTTAGAAAGTGCCCCCCCCCCACTGCACCAATTTTTTTTTTTTTTTTTTTTTTTTTTTTTTTTTTTTTTAGGAAAAAGCCCTGGGAAAGAGGTTGGATGATGCCACTCACAAATAACGCAAATTTACCAGCCAAATGAATTACATACCGGTTCTTTGGCCACATTGTTGCTTACGAATTCTACAACACTAAACCGACAACATAAAATCGCTTATTTTAAGTTTTTAAAAGGACTGAAGTTTTAGGGCAAAACACCTGAATTGAATATTTCCGGCTGTTCATGTTGCCTACCGGATATTAATGAAACTCGCTAGTTGCTGAAAGGTAGTTTCCTACTAGTTTGCAATACGATTGAACAACATATTTTACCAAGAATGTAGGTCAAAAGTGACCCGTAAGATTCCCCCGCTGGTCGAGGGGATAATCGCAGTAAGCCATCAAATCTGCAAAAAAGAGTCAAACATAGAAATTGTCAGGGATAGTGTAACGGGGACCTTCGTGTCTTTAGCCCTAGTTCAACTACCAGTTCCGCCTTAATGCGGCTTGAATTTAACTTTACAAGAGTCAAGCATTGTTATATTTTCGTGGTGTTTGCTACGCTTCTTCTGCTCTAGGAAATTAGTGCGTGGATGAAAGGAAAAAAACTCTCATCAAGTCAGTTTATAGATAATCGACAATTACTCTGGTCTTTACACTGAAGGATATTCTACTCTGGATCTGAAAACTGAACTTCCCACACAAACCGCGGGCTGCAAGTCTTCAACATTCATCACTGCCGGCCAACAAAAAGCGTTTTCCTGTTTAAAGGGGGTATCCAGGTACTTTTATAATAGGGGACCCAAGCCTATGCACAGTTTTGAAACTGTTTTAAAGGCTTATAATATCCCCCTTCCTGACCTCAGGAGTCGCCGTTACACATTTTAGTTGCCAAAAGCACATGCTTCGTTAGACAAGAGATTGAACAGATTTCCCCCAGAATGCAATGATAATTTCAGAATCGAAGTATACTTAGTTTAAAAAAGCAATTATATTAACAATGGTGAATTTTTAATTTCATTTCTCAAACCTTTTCTCCAGTTCATGAAATCGTCTGATCATCATTCGAGACAAACGTATGCTGTTGTTGTGGCTTGGCAAAGAAGAGGAAATGAGGTTAGTAAATCCATCATTTTACAAACAGTGTGAACATCGTAACCGATGAATAGTGTCTCATAGAATGTTCCCCTGGCCTCGAATTAACTGAGTTCTCAAAATGAGATAGCAAATCGCCGAGCTAACATAATATCTTTAGCTACCTTTCTTCGAGATCTTTCAGCCGGTTTGCAAAGTCCGCCAGATTGGGAGTTCGGTTATTTTTCACCGTTCTTCGATCACGGTACGGCAGCGATTGTTGTCCACCAACTTCAGTGCCTTCAGTAGATACGCGATCTTCTCCTCGCGGTTTTCGCGCCAGTTCATCATCAAGAGCGAGGATATGAACCAGACCAGCACAGAACATCACTGTCACAGCCAAGAAACGTACGGTCGAGCGAGGTGTAACCGCTGGAGACAATTTCATTTTAAAGTAAAGATCTTTTGAAACAGAAAACAACCTTTTGTCTATCCTCCACAAAAAGGTGTTACGTGAAGTCAATATCAAAGCTCGGAAGGTACAACAATTTGGACGAGAAATTTTTCTCGCTTGTGACGTAACATCTAAGGCCATCGGAAGGCGGATGTGAGCTTGTAACAGACTTAAATATGCAAGGACAATAAGTAAACAGTCTACTATAGTATCGGTATAGTCATATTAAGTTTGTAGACGGCACTTACGGACAATCTGAATCCGGTCGGTAGCGTTAAAAGTGGAGGTTAAGTTAAGTATTGGAATCCGTACCGAGTATATCTTTACTTCTGCCGGCCACTATAAAATGTCAAATCTGTTACTAAATTTGCATGTTAAGCTTATTTATTTGAGCCTCCGGAAATTTTTTTGATTGTGAGGTTTCAAGCTCTCCATTCGGGCTCGGGCGAGAATGCATGTCCGTAACTTTTCATTTACCGCGGGAGAAAGTTTAGAGTAGAATTTGTTCTTTTTTGGCTCTTTATCCTGACTTTTGTATATCTGCCGTAAATCTGAAATTGAGCATCACAGAAATTTATGCCAATCGACAGCGACTTTCTGCCCTAGCGACTTTCGGGGACAGCGATATTTTTTCCTAACCCACAAGGCGACGGCAGGCAGCTTCGGGAATGACAAACAAAGCCATAACATACCCCCTTTTGAAGGCCTCTTTCATGATTTACCCCAGAGAGAGAGAGAGCTTGTTGCTTTTAAGCAACAAGCTGTGTTTAAAAACACAGTCATTGACATGATTCATCTCGGCTAAGTGGCAAACAAAGAAAATCATTCAATTAACACAGCTTTGAACGAATATTAATGAGTCGCAGTTCTTTTGTTTGTAAACGGATCTAAAATTTACTCTGAGATGACACAACTTTGGTGCGGCTGTCGAAGGTAAAATCCTCTCTTGGGTTGAAGCAGGATTCCCTGTATTTGCTGAATTAAAGGAACCTGAATCAAACTACAGAAGCTAGGCTGAATACTAACAGCGGAATTTACCTTTGAAGGACATGGCCACGTGTCATGTTCAAAGGCAGGAGGGAATTGATCAAAATCGGCTCCGTTCTTTCGTATAAATCATATTCCTCTTAAGTAAATTTTTGATTTTTCGTTCTGTGTCTCTCCGGGGGACCAGGGATTAGAATCCTGGAAGTGATCTTCCTCTGTTACTACAATCCATTTAGGACAACTCGGCAACCACACCCTATAGTACCCTGCGACGCAGGCTAGCCCAGTTGGGTTGGCGAGCTATTTTTGTAATCCAACAACAATAACAATATTATTATGAACTGCCATATAAATGTTTTGTACTTTAAGTTACTACATTTCTAGAGATAACTCCTGTTCCTTGTTTTTTCTGTTCCGAGCTTCTCAAGTTGAATGTTAGATACTCAGTATTTGAGAGGCTGCCCTGAAATTAATTAACAAAGTATGTATATGCTAATGACAAATTTATCATCTTTACTGGTACAGCATATAGGGAAAAACAATTGGTTCATAACAGATGACAAAAGTCTTTGAGGGACAGTCAAGTTTTTGATCTAGAGGAATAAAACCTTGCTTACTTTAACCCATTCGCTCCTGGAGATTTTGCCAAAAAACGCGTTTTGAAGCTAGTCGAGTAGTTTTCTGGTCACTGTCGTGCTATAAAGAGCTAAAACTTACCACAAACCGGTTTACAGGTCGTACACTTCGCGGCCTTCTGATCCAGATGCAAAATATCAGCTTGCGAAGTTCGGGCATGCCCAGAAAGCAAAATTTCGAGTTTTTTGGGGTTTAAAAGTGACACAGCAGTCTTGACTTTTACTTTTCGCTTTCTCTCCTCCCTTCTTTTTTCGCTTTTCTTGCCTCATTTTTTTTTCTCTTTCTGGGCATTTAGTAGGCTTCATTTTGGTGGGAAGAGTTTTTAGGAAAGCTTTTAGGATCTTAGGATTAGGTGAAAGGAAAGGTAGGTGGGTAATGGAACAAGATTTTCATGGAGATTTTCAGGTCCTTGTCACGTGGTTTTTTGCTTCTTTCTCCGGTGTCCTTGACTGAATTGTGCTCATTCTGGTATGGTTTGAAAGATCTCTTCACTCTGCACAAGTTAACGAAGAAAGTTGTCCTTGACCGTTAAAACTGATGACGTCACAAAGGGTAGAAAGGACCTGGATCCGCACGGGCGGTTACGGGCGGTTCAGGGGCGAATGGGTTAATGCCAGCCAGAATTACTATCTCAAATTTCTGCCTGATTGAAGTTGGAATCTGCAGCTCTAACATCTAAATTCATGTCTTGAAAGTCATGAATGCAATGTTTAGAACTTAAGGGTGTTCTATATTATTAAGAATGATTTAGAATTCACAACCCGAATAGTTAATTGGTACATGCAAAAACATCTTTGCTGTTGAAATAATTAATAAACAACATCAGTGCTTGGGACTGACAATGCTTCACATTATTTTCATACTCAACCCCCGACCACAGTTTATTTCTCCACTTGAAAAATAATTTTCTGCACATTTTTCAATCAGCTGTTATTTTTCCTTCCTTTCCCTTAAATTGATGACCACAATCGATCTAAGTAAAAGTGTATCAGTATAAGGTTCTGGGCCCGGTTGCATAAAACGTCCGTAACAACTACGGGTACACGTACGTGCACTCGTAACATAAGTCAGTTGCATGAAATCACTTAAGTGGTCCACTTAGGGAATTTACTTAAGTGGTTGCACTTACGATTTTCGTAAGTGTTCACTTAAATGTCGTTTATGCAACAGAAATTGCGGGTGTTGCATAAAACTTTTTTAAAGGGAAAAATAGCACGGACATTTACGGGACCTATGTAGGTCCCGTATCGTTACTGTTTTTTACAAAATTTAACGAAATCTTTTACTGAGAAGTGAAAAAAAGTATTTTTCTTCACATAATTCGTTCTAATGCGCTTTGTTAACCTCTGATGTACACTTTTGTGAAAAAAGAAGAAGCACTATCATTTTCAGTAGATATTGAAGAAAAATAACGTTGGCATGCAAATTTCATTTTTTGAGAGGCTTAAAAGTGTTCGAAACGACTTTTAACTTTCTTTACACTCACCGATGGTTAGCTTAAAAATCATTAATGAATCATTAATAAAGTACTATATCAAGGTTACGTGTGCCCTTACTGTGAGCCCGTAAGTTACCACGTAAAACAGAAACTTACGAGAGTGCTAAGTGTGTTCCATGCAACACCCGTAAGTGTACCCATAACGGATTCGTAAGTGACCTACTTAAGTGAGCACTTAAGTGCAGGTTTTATGCAACCGGGCCCTGGGCCCGGTTGCATAAAACGCCCGTAACAGTTACGGGTATACGTACGTGTACTCCTAACTTAAGTGAGTTGCATTAAATCATTTACGTGGTCCACTTAGGGGTTTCACTTAAGTGACTGCACTTACGATTTTCGTAAGTATCCACTTAAGTGTCATTTATGCAACAGAAATTGCCGGTGTTGCAAAAAACCTTTTTTACGGGAAAATTAGCACTTAAATTTACGGGACCTATGTAGGTCCCGTATCCTTACTGTTTTTACTAAAGTTAACGAGATCTTTTACCGAGAAGTGAAAAAAAATTGTTTTTTCTTTACGTAATTCCGTTCTAATGCGCTTTGTTAACCTCTGATGTACAATTTAAAGCCGTCGTTAAGAAAAAAGAAGAACAACAAACATTTCCAGTGGATATTGAAGTAAAATAACGATTTCATGTAAACTTTATTTGAATGAGAGGCTTAAAAGTGTTCGAAACGACTTGACACTTTCTTTACACTCACCGATGGTTAACTTAATTTAAAAAAATAGAGTGAGTCAAATTAATAATTAAAAGTACTATAACAAAGTTACGTGTGCCCTTAAGTGAGCCCGTAAGTTACCACGTAAAACAGAAACTTACGAGAGCGCTAAGTGTGTTCCATGCAACACCCGTAAATGTACCCATAACGGATTCTTAAGTGACCTGCTTAAGTGGGCACTTAAGTGCAGGTTTTATGCAACCGGGCCCTGGTAAACATCTGCCCACCTACCCTTCCTAAGTATGAAGTTAGCTGATTCATATTGTGACAAACTTTAAGCTGTTTTGAAAATTATCAAAGCAAAGAAAACTTTGAACCACAACATCGACACAGTTCTGATTCAGACTGTTTTCGCTTTGGCTCGCTCAAGCTGAAAGTTTATGTTGTTTTTCACTAGCTATAAAAGTCCCTTTCTATTGTATCTGAAGGATTTATACTTATAGTTACAAGGTTTTCCTCCCGTGGCTCCCATGGTTCAGGAATAAGTTGAGCCCAAACCTGGATGCCCACGAAAAAACGAAAAGATATCATTTAATCTTGAGTTTATAAAAACTTTAACGACTGTTAAACTACGCTCCAAACACTTTATACTAAGAACCGTCAATTTGTTTGTAAAATCTTACCTCAATTGTTTCCCCTTTGTCTAAAAAATAATTAGACTTGAAGTTATCGAGTAGTGCTTCGAGTTTAGTGAAAATAGTAAAAGAGAAGAACTGAATAAACCAGGCATTTTTACCGATAACATTAACCTCACAAAGCTTGCTGCTTTCACGTAGAAATTTCAGAGAGCAATTTATAACTTGAATGTAAAATTCATGTTTCATGTAAAATTTCCTTTCATTTCACTGACCTTGATGCAATTTCCACCGACCAAAGGGTTACTTCTAAAACGAGATATAAACTTTAACATCTTTAACAGTGCAAAACTGGAGAATTTGATGCTCGATGGAACATCATGGCTTCGCAAAACGAGAATGGACTGGCAAGGGGCGAGTAGTAAACTGGGTGGACAGTCAACAAACAGTAAGCTGGGTGACAAGTTTGTGCGTTTTTAAATTTTCATGCGATATCATGGACTGGAGAAAACGCCGATTCCAATCTCCAAAGTAAAGTATGGTAGCTATACTTCAAAAAATATTCCATACTTTATCCATTTGTTGTCTCTACACGTTTTCTTCAGAATAAGTGGTCTTACGCTACAAATAAGAGGTCTGGCGCTACCAATTGGGGGTGTGCCACCAATAAGAATGAAGTCAATGCTTTGGAATCTATACATGGCAGAGCTGCTTGAGTCATATATAACCTTCCCCGAGACTTACCCTCTGTAGACGTTCGAAAATCGATCAGGTGGGACTTGTTATTTGACATGTACAAGGCCAAGATAGCCACTTTAATTTATAAAATATTTCATCGCATGACTCCATCATGCTTAGAACGTCTAATCCAGAGGCGAAAGAACAAGTACGACTTGTGTCATCACCATCGCGTAAGTGTTTCGTGTTTCGAAACGTACAACATGAAGAACTCCATCACGTACAGAGGATCCCATGCTTGGAACTTGTTAGATCCCTCCGTGGCTGACACAAGAGCCTACGCTAAAATGGCCATAAACTCTCAAGCCCTCAAAAATCTCAATTTCTCAGCTGAATCACCCCTTGCAATGAATATGTTCAATGACAGTAATTTCGTCTTTCATTGACTAATAATCAATATAATAATACTGATACATTTATATTTTTTGGATAACACAAGAATTGACTACTTTTTTACTTTTTAGGTATAGATTTTTTAATTACAATTATGTATTTTCATTAGCATGTTTTTAATTAATATGTACACGGCCCCATAAACTGTGTTAGCTTCAATTTGAACAGTATGTTTTTAAATAAAAGTTGTTGTTATTAGTGGGAGAATTTGTTGAAGTTTTAATTAGATTTATTGTTTTTGATCATGTCCCTTCATTCTCGTCACCAATGTGTAAAATGTGTTGTATTCAAAGGAGACCTTTGTTGTTCATCACTGTCAGGGCTTAGGGCCTGTTTACATGGAGTGGGGGACCCCGGTCTAGTGGGGTAGGTTTCTTTTGTTTTGTGTCCCCCAGAGCGTGAAAACAAAAGAAACCAACCCCACTAGACCGGGGTCCCCCACTCCATGTAAACAGGCCCTTAATGGGCTAAAAATATAGGGATATAATCTCGCATTTGTTAGCTGTTCTTCCATTGAGTAGCCATCGCAAGAGCTCGCCTGAAAACAATTTGATAACCTGTTTTTACAAAATTCGCCGTCCCGTCCCCTACCAAGTAGACTGCGAGCAGTCTCTTATTTTTCTTTTGAATCACGGTAATTCTACTTTTTCACTTGCTGCGCGTGGCCCTGTGGAAAGAAGGACCACCGCTCGCGGTCTACTTACCAGGTGCAATCAAATATATTAATCATGCGCGTAAATTGCGCACCACTAGGACATGTGGTCCTTCCCCAGCGAACGTACTTCACTCCTGATGTCCCAACTCCATCCTGTCCCTTTTCGCCTTTTGCACCCTGTGGTCCCTGGGCTCCAGTTTTTCCAACTGCTCCCTGGTCTCCTTTAGGACCAGGAGGTCCTGGGAATGACTTGTTGGTTCCTTGTTTTCCCTGTTCTCCTACAAAGTATAAAAAGACCCCAAGCACTCAATTTCGACTTATTACATCATTTGGCTCAAAATTGGAGCTGTCGCGAGACTATTTTTTTCTATGGGATTCTGACGATTACAAATCACGAATATAACGGTTGAAAAATGGCCGGCTTGCAAAAGACCCAAAAACACCATAGAAAAGAAATAAGATGTTAGCTGAAATTCGATGAATGGAACTTATTGTTTACAGCTAGCCGGGTGGCTAACTTGTAAATGTTGGTATGTTGAAAGGGGAGTTTCTTTTGCTCTTTTTCCTACATTCACAGTTGGTGTTATAAAAGCTTCAGTTTTTCCTTTGATCTCTATGTCGTTTGTCCTTGATACCTTTTGATCCTTTTGCTCCTATTGGTCCTGGTTTCCCAGGAGCACCAGCAGGCCCCTGTGTCCCAGGAGCACCAACCGGTCCCTGTTTCCCAGGTGGGCCAGGTGGTCCAACTCGCCCCTTTCCGGTGTTCTGCATATGTTGTCCTGAAAAAGAAACACGCTGATGTCGAAACTTCGCCCCCGATACTTTTTCGCTCAGAAAATGCCCCTCCACCATTTTTTTTTTGTTTTAAGGAAAACTTGAAGCCCTGGGAAAGAGGTTCGGTGATGCCACTCACAAATAACGCAAATTTACCAAATGAATTACACACCGGTTCTTGGGCCACATTCTAAAACACTAAATCACAGACAACATAAAATCGCTTATATTAAGTTTTTAAAAGGACTGAAGTTTTAGGGCAAAACACCTGAATTGAATATTTCCGGCTGTTCATGTTGCCTACCGGATATTATATAAGGAAACTCGCTGGTTGCTTATAGGTAGCTATAGTTTCGTACTAGTTTGCAATAGGATTGAACAACATATTTTACCAAGAATGTAGGTCAAAAGTGACCCGTAAGATTCCCCCGCTGGTCGGGGAGATAATCGCAGTAAGCCATCAAATCTGAAAAAAAGAGTCAAACATAGAAATTGTCAGGGATAGTGTAACGGGGACCTTCGTGTCTTTAGCCCTAGTTCAACTACCAGTTGGGCCTTACGAGAGTCAAGTGCTTTTATATTTTCGTGGTGTTTGCTACGCTTCTTCTGCTCTAGGAAATTAGTGCGTGGATGAAAGGAAAAAAACTGTCGTCAAGTCAGTTTATAGATAATCGACAATTACTCTGGTCTTTACACTGAAGGATATTCTATTCTGGATATGAAAACTGCATGATCTTCCCACACAAGCCGCGGGCTGCAAGTCTTCAACATTCATCAGTGCCGGCCAACAGAAAGCGTTTTCCTGTTTAAAGGGGGTATCCAGGTACTTTTATAATAGGAGACCCAAGCCTATGCACAGTTTTGAAACTGTTTTAAAGGCTTATAATATCCCCCTTCGGCTTCCTGACCTCCGGAGTCGCCGTTACACATTTTACGAAAGAGGGGATTTGCCATGTTGCCAAACTGTCGAAAACTGAGCACATGCTTCGTTAGACAAGAGATTGAACAGATTTCCCCCAGTATGCAACGGCAATTTCAGAATCGAAGTATACTTAGTTTAAAAAAGCAATTATATTTATTTAACAATGGTGAATTTTTAATTTCATTTCTCAAACCTTTTCTCCAGTTCATGAAATCGTCTGATCATCATTCGAGACAAACGTATGCTGTTGTTGTGGCTTGGCAAGGAAGAGGAAATGAGGTTAGTAAATCCGTCATTTTACAAACGGTGTGAACATTGTAACTGATGAACAGTGTCTAATAGAATGTTCCTGTGGTCTCGAATTAACTGAGTTCTCAAAATGAGATAGCAAATCGTCGAGCTAACATAATACCTTTAGCTACCTTTCTTCGAGATCTTTCAGCCGGTTTGCAAAGTCCGCCAAATTGGGAGTTCGGTTATTTTTCACCGTTCTTCGATCACGGAACGGCAGCGATTGTTGTCCACCAACTTCAGTGCCTTCAGTAGATACGCGATCTTCTCCTCGCGGTTTCCGCGCCAGTTTATCATCAAGAGCGAGGATATGAACCAGACCAGTACAGAACATCACTGTCACAGCCAAGAAACGTATGGTCAAACGAGGTGTAACCGCTAGAGACAATTTCATTTTAAAGGAAAGAACGATCTTTTGAAACAGGAAACAACCTTTTGTCTATACTCCACAAAAAGGTTTTACGTGAAGTCAATATCGAAGCTCGGAAGGTACAAAAATTCGGACGAGAAATTTTTCGCGCTTGTGACGTAACATCTAAGGCCATCGGAAGGCGGATGTGAGCTTTGCAACAGACTTAAATATGCAAGGCAATGAGTAAACAGTCTACTATAGTATCGGTATAGTCATATTAAGTTTGGAGACATCACTTACGGACAAACTCAGTGTTTCATAGCAAGATCAAACATTTTTGCTACACAAGAAGCCTGACCCAATCTGAATCCGGTCGGTAGCGTTTAAAAGTGGTGGTTAAGTTAAGTATTGGAATCCGTACCGAGTATATCTTTACTTCTGCCGGCCACTATATAATGTAAAATCTGTTACTAAATTTGCATGTTAAGCTTATTTATTTTGATAGTGAGATTTCAAGCTCTCAATTCGGGCTCGGGCGAGAATGCATGTCCGTAACTTTTCATTCAGCGCGGGAGAAAGTTTATAATAAAATTTGTTCTTTTGTGGCTCTTTATACTGACTTTTGTGTATCTGCCGTAAATCTGAAATTGAGTATCACAGAAATTTATGCCAATCGACTGCGACTTTCGGCGACAGCGATATTTTTTCCTAACCTACAAGGCGACAGCAAGCAGCCTCAGGAAACAAACAAAGCTATAGCATACCCCACTATGAAGGCCTCTTTCATGATTTACCCCAGAGAGAGAGAGAGAGAGCTTGTTGCTTTTAAGCAACAAGCTGTGTTTAAAAACACAGTCATTGACATGATTCATCTCGGCTAAGTGGCAAACAAAGAAAATCGTTCAATTAACACAGCTTTCAACGAGTATTAATGAGTCGGAGTTCTTTTGTTTGTAAACGGATCTAAAATTTACTTTGAGATGACACAACATTGGTGCGGCTGTCGTAGGTAAAATCCTCTCTTGGGTTGACGCAGGATTCCCTGTATTTGCTGAATTAAAGGAACCTAAATCAAACTACAGAAACTAGGCTAAATACTAACAGCAGAATTTACCTTTGAAGGACATGGCCACGTGTCATGCTCAAAAAAATGCAGGAGGGAATTGATCAAGATCGACTCTGTTCTTACGTATAAATCACATTCCTCTCAAGTATATTTTTGATTTTTCGTTCTCTGTCTGTCCGGGGAACTAGAATTAGAATCCTGGAAATGATCTTCCTCTGTTACCATAATCCATTTAGTACAACTCGGCAACTACACCCTATATACGCACTGTTAGTTATCCAGGCGGTTTAGAGTGTCCTGCGACGCAGGCTAGCCCAGTTGGGACGGCGAGTTATTTTTGTAATCCAACAACAATAACAATATTATTATGAACTGCCATATAAATGTTTTGTACTTTAAGTTACAACATTTCTAGAGATAACTCCTGTTCCTTGTTTTTTTTGTTCCGAGCTTCTCAAGTTGAATGTTAGATACTCAGTATTTGAAAGGCTGCCCTGAAATTAATTAACAAAGTATGTATATGCTATTGACAAATTTATGATCTTTACTGGTACAGCATATAGGGAAAAACAATTGGTTTCATAACAGATGACAAAAGTCTTTGAGGGACAGTCAAGTTTTTGATCTAGAGGAATAAAACCTTGCTTACTTTAATGCCAGCCAGAATTACTATCTCAAATTTCTGCCTGATTGAAGTTGGAATCTGCAGCTCTAACATCTAAATTCATGTCTTGAAAGTCATGAATGCAATGTTTAGAACTTAAGGGTGTTCTATATTATTAAGAATGATTTAGAATTCACAACCCGAATAGTTAATTGGTACATGCAAAAACATCTTTGCTGTTGAAATAATTAATAAACAACATCAGTGCTTGGGACTGACAATGCTTCACATTATTTTCATACTCAACCCCCGACCACAGTTTATTTCTCCACTTGAAAAATAATTTTCTGCCTAAGCTCAATTTTTCCTTGGCACATTTTTCAATCAGCTGTTATTTTTCCTTTCTTTCCCTTAAATTGATGACCACAATCGATCTAAGTAAAAGTGTATCAGTATAAGGTTCTGGTAAACATCTGCCCACCTACCCTTCCTAAGTATGAAGTTAGCTGATTCATATTGTGACAAACTTTAAACTGTTTTGAAAATTATCAAAGCGAAGAAAACTTTGAACCACAACATCGACACAGTTCTGATTCAGACTGTTTTCGCTTTGGCTCGCTCAAGCTGAAAGTTTATGTTGTTTTTCACTAGCTATAAAAGTCCCTTTCTATTGTATCTGAAGGATTTATACTTATAGTTACACGGTTTTCCTCCCGTGGCTCCCATGGTTCAGGAATAAGTTGAGCCCAAACCTGGATGCCCACGAAAAAACGAAAAGATATCATTTAATCTTGAGTTTATAAAAACTTAAACGACTGTTAAACTACGCTCCAAACACTTTATACTAAGAACCGTCAATTTGTTTGTAAAATCTTACCTCAATTGTTTCCCCTTTGTCTAAAAAATAATTAGACTTGAAGTTATCGAGTAGTGCTTCGAGTTTAGTGAAAATAGTAAAAGAGAAGAACTGAATAAACCAGGCATTTTTACCGATAACATTAACCTCACAAAGCTTGCTGCTTTCACTTAGAAATTTCAGAGAGCAATTTATAACTTGAATGTAAAATTCATGTTTAATGTAAAATTTCCTTTCATTTCACTGACCTTGAGGCAATTTCCACCGACCAAAGGGTTACTTCTAAAACGAGATATAAACTTTAACATCTTAAACAGTGCAAAACTGGAGAATTTGATGCTCGATGGAACATCATGGCTTCGCAAAACGAGAAGGGACTGGCACGGGGCGAGTAGTAAACTGGGTGGACAGTCAACAAACGGTAAGCTGGGTGACAAGTTTGTGCGTTTTTAAATTTTCATGCGATATCATGGACTGGAGAAAACGCCGATTCCAATCTCCAAAGTAAAGTATGGTAGCTATCCTTCAAAAAATATTCCATACTTTATCCTTTATCCATTTGTTGTCTCTACACGTTTTCTTCAGAATAAGTGGTCTTACGCTACAAATAAGCGGTCTGGCGCTACCAATTGGGGGTGTGCCACCAATAAGAATGAAGTCAATGCTTTGGAATCTATACATGGCAGAGCCGCTTGAGTCATATATAACCTGCCCCGAGACTTACCCTCTGTAGACGTTCGAAAATCGATCAGGTGGGACTTGTTATTTGACATGTACAAGGCCAAGATAGCCACTTTAATTTATAAAATATTTCATCGCATGACTCCATCATGCTTAGAACGTCTAATCCAGAGGCGAAAGAACAAGTACGACTTGTGTCATCACCATCGCGTAAGTGTTTCGTGTTTCGAAACGTACAACATGAAGAACTCCATCACGTACAGAGGATCCCATGCTTGGAACTTGTTAGATCCCTCCGTGGCTGACACAAGAGCCTACGCTAAAATGGCCATAAACTCTCAAGCCCTCAAAAATCTCAATTTCTCAGCTGAATCACCCCTTGCAATGATCATGAATATGTTCAATGACAGTGATTTCGTCTTTCATTGACTAATAATCAATATAATAATACTGATACATTTATATTTTTTGGATAACACAAGAATTGACTACTTTTTTACTTTTTAGGTATAGATTTTTTAATTACAATTATGTATTTTCATTAGCATGTTTTTAATTAATATGTACACGGCCCCATAAACTGTGTTAGCTTCAATTTGAACAGTATGTTTTTAAATAAAAGTTGTTGTTATTAGTGGGAGAATTTGTTGAAGTTTTAATTAGATTTATTGTTTTTGATCATGTCCCTTCATTCTCGTCACCAATGTGTAAAATGTGTTGTATTCAAAGGAGAACTTTGTTGTTCATCACTGTCAGGGCTTAATGGGCTAAAAATATAGTGATATAATCTCGCATTTGTTAGCTGTTCTTCCATTGAGTAGCCATCGCAAGAGCTCGCCTGAAAACAATTTGATAACCTGTTTTTACAAAATTTGCCGTCCCGTCCCCTACCAAGTAGACTGCGAGCAGTCTCTTATTTTTCTTTTGAATCACGGTAATTCTACTTTTTCACTTGCTGCGCGTGGCCCTGTGGAAAGAAGGACCACCGCTCGCGGTCTACCTACCAGGTGCAATCAAATATATTAATCATGCGCGTAAATTGCGAGCGCAGTGTGAGGTGTACTCGACAAACCTGGGATCACAGTTCACAGGCAGCGCGCAGACGCCTTATAGGCTTTATGAAGACAAATCAGACGGACAGATTCCCCGAGAATTCGTGTCCCCTTGCCACGCGCTTCGCACCTTTATCTCGTCACCGCCAAATAACGCCTGTTAGGCGAGCTAAAATCTGGTGAGGAAATTCTCTTCTCTCTTGTATGCCCTCTTCCTTTCACGGACTCCAAAAACAGGGACTTATTTAAAGTTTACATGGGCCATCAAAGATTGGCTTTGCTACTTGCTGGCTGACAAGGATTTTTTTACTGATTTCGGCTTGGAATCGGTTGAAAAACGAAGTAAAGAAACACATTTTTTTTATCAATGTTTTCACCTTATTTTAATTGTTATTGCTTACATCCCGTATTAATCTACAGCGAACTTTTCTGGCGCCTTATAGTGCCGGCAGAACAGATAACGCAGTGTGTTTAAAGTCTAGTTAAAAGTATATATACTGATTTAACCATTAGGTTTTGGTTTTCGTCGCTCATCGCTATGGTAGCCATGCCACAGTGACAGGTATCTTCCCGTCATTTGGTGCACACAGCGCATGTCAACTCTCGCCCGTTGACATAAGGAAGACATGGGAGTGAGCCACAAACACCTTCCACAGGGTACAGCAAAGCACCATTCTTGTTTGCATGGGTACCAGGAACAAACTCTGAATCCCCGTCAACACAGATGAAATCGGTTGAATGCTTGTGGTTATAATATGCAGTCATCAGGTACCCATGATACTCCTCGGTCCATCCAGAAGGACAGTCATTCCTGGCAGGCATCATCAGCATCGAGCCACGTGATTTGGCGAAGCAGACAACGCATGGTGCTTCATGATCGTGAAGATTTCTCTGTTTTCCGTCGCGATCATTTACTTCATACTCAGTGCCGTACATGTATCCGGAGCTCTGATGGCCATCTTTGTACTCGTCATACTTTGATTGTGTGGAAGGCAGAGGTAGTTCGCTCCACCACCAGGGTGAGTGTAGTGCTCTCCACCTACTATACCTGATACAAAGCAAAAAAAATATCAACAACAATTATTCTTTTTGAAATTCTGTCAACACGCCAAGTTAAAGGAGCTGTGTCACGAAATTCAGCCAAATTAGGAAATTACAAAATGCCCGTTAAATTAAGAGAAACATAAAAATAACCACTTAAAACTTTAAAGGAAGGTTAAAATAACGTAACAGAAACAACAGATGCCACGGATGGGCAAAACTGAAGAAGATTGAATCGGATTGAAATTAGGATTTTTGAAAACTGTTCAGCCTAACAGTTTTTCAAAGTTGGTCCCTGCTGCTTGCAACTTCAAAAACAATGCTCAGGAGACATATTTGTTTGTCTCGGATCTCTGATTTTGTCATTTACGTATAATTAATTGCATATTTTAAGTTCTATAGCGATTGAAGGCGAGTAATTCGCAAAATTAAACAAAAGAAACTGGACTGCGGTGACACAACCCCTTTAATTAAAAGCTTTCCTGTTCTGCTCTTCGCAAGTGCATTAAATGGCGGCTAGCGGTTGAGGGAGGCAAGGCGTCTTTTCTCTGCCTTGGTTATTTGAAATGAAGAATTTTCGCAAACATTTGTTTTCATCTTCTTTCATCATAAATTAACTTTGATTTCTAGGCAACTGAATTCCCCTTGTAAGGAAATGCTGAGTTAACAAAATGGCATCCTCTACTCGAGTAAACTGTTGTTGAAAACGAAAACATTCTGCTATAAAAGTAAATCGGAAAACGCAGTTAAAATAGTTTGAAATCTTTTCTTACCTTCAAAAACATCAACCATAGGATTCTGTTGACTAGTTCTTACTCAAAAAATTGGCAAAACATCTAGCTCACGCAATATCGCTAAGAGCTGAATATTAAGCAGGGGCACCCAACGTCAATTTTCGGAAAATATCTGTTCGAAAGACGATTTGAGATCTAGAATTTTCGAAACATTTGTTTTAAAATTTCTTGCTTGCCTGCCTCTCCTAGGATTTGCGTACATCTAAAAAAGGTATAATTGCTCATTTTTAACCGATTTTTACCCTAAAAAGGTCACCTAAAATTTTCGGGAGCCTTTTTTCTGGCTGAAATTTTCGAAAAGGTAAGTTTTGATCCCTATAATTTTCGGATCACCTGGCTTTCAGCTAGGAAATCCGAACAGATGAAAAATTTTTAGGGGATAAAAATATGCCTATAGCTACTGTTTAAATACCAAAATACGTTTAACAATGCTATGTTTAAGTGGTTTTGAACTATATTCTCGTCTGGTGCCCCTGATTAAGATAGCGAACTAATCAGACTGCTTGAAACACCAAGACCACAGACCACAAATGGATGTAACATTTTGAGGCAAAAATGTAATGCAATACTCTAGAATTACATACATAAAAAAGCCTACTTGTACAAACTTATGAAACTACATTTCAGCAAGCGCAATCATTTATGCTTTGTGGGTAATAATTCACTATTCAGGGTCTGATGGATGACCAACTTTTGCGGCATACATTTTCATGTGACATCGACGTAACAAAGGCCGTGAGACTGCGCATTGTTAGGAAAAACAAGGGCGTTATCTCATACCCAGATTTCAGTCTGTCTCATGCATGAACAGGTACGAACCAGTTACACTCAACTGTTAATATGCTGGAAAGATGCAACAAAAAGATAACTTAAAGAGAGGCCCAGGTTATTGACCAGTAAATGTAACAACCTTGGAGAAGTTTCATTGTTGTCACATTTAAATAATGATTAGTAGGTTTATGTGGCATACAAATCTTCAGTTTATCACTCTTTTTGTCTTTAGAATCATGGCAGCAATAGTAACTATTATGTAAGATATCTTCGCTTACCTTTATAAACTATCTGCGCACCAGTAGGACATGTGGTCCTTCCCCAGCGAACGTACTGCACCCCTGAATTTCCAGCTCCATCCTGTCCCTTTTCTCCTTTTTCACCCTGTGGTCCCTGGGCTCCAGTCTTCCCAACTGCTCCCTGGTCTCCTTTAGGACCAGGAGGGCCTGGGGATGGCTTGTTGGTACCTGGTTTTCCTTGTCCCCCTACAAAGTATAAAATGGCTCTAAGCGCTCGATCCCAACATTTTCACTTATTTTAGTGTTTAAAAGTGGAATCCATAAAAGTGTTTTTTTCCTCTGGGGCTCTTACAAGCCACATTTGCTTTCAAGCGTGAAGCGGTTGAAAATTGGCCTGCTTGCAATTGATACACTGCATGATCATAAACTGCAAGAACCGCAAAAGGAATACTTTGTCAGAAAATAACTGAGATGCTAATTTAACATCGATAACCGCACTTCTTCTTTACTGCCGGCTAACTTCTAATTAATTACTGGAACATACAAACGAAATTACAAAACGAGTTTCATTTTCTTCCTCAACTGCGTTTACAGTTGGCGTTTTACAATTTTCGTTTTTCCCTTCATATCGATCTTTGTTGTTTTCCCTTCCGAGTATACCTTTTGATCCTTTTGGTCCAGCTGGCCCTTGTTTCCCTGGAGGGCCAGGTGGTCCAACTCGTCCCTTCCCAGGGTTTTGCATTTGCTGACCTGAAATAGATACAAACCGGTGATATCACCCATAAATCACAGCATACTTACCAGACAAATGGGTTAACTAAAATACGGATTTTTAGTCACATATTAGATTACATATTCTATAACAATCAAATTTAATGCTCAAAAATCTCTTAATAAATCTCTTAATGTTTTGGGACTAAGAACCTGATATCATTTTGCCTATGCAGATAAAATCCGCTAGTTGCCTTCACGAAATTTTGGATTGGATTGAACATCATATTTTACCAAGAAGGTAGCTCAAAAGTGACACGTAGGATTCCCCTGCTGGTCGAGGCGATAATCGCAGTAAGCCGTCAAGTCTGAAAAAAAGATCAACCATAAAAGATCTCAGAGACAGTGTATTAAACAAGGACTTTCGCCGTGACTTAAGCCTAGTTCACACTGTACCGGATACCTCTTGTGCCGGCACGAAAGCTATACTGGATAGGGCTTCTGTTCTCACACAAGAACAGTGCTTTCGGCGCAAAAGGCTCTTTGTAGCTAGCCATTCACGTGGTACAAAACCGCCATGCTGGAGAACTGGAACAAGACAAACAAGGGAAATTACCATTTACCAAAATTATGTATGCCTTTTATTTGTCTTGTCTCAGTGCGACTTTTGCTCTCCAGCATGGCGGTTTTGTATCACGTGAATGGCTTGCTGCAAAGGGCCTGTTTGTGCAACGGAACGAGGCTGAGCTGTGCCGATCTCTTAGCATATCGAATAGGTCGTGTGCCACACTTTGTGCGAAGGTGAAAAAGTAGGAGCGAGGACTGGAATCTACTGAGACGGAGAACTGGGATTTTGTCCACCAAACCCTCTGGTGCAACGTCTTCAATGCGTGTGAACTAAACAGCTTTTCGTGTCGACACGACAAGCTTCCCGGTATTTGGTATGAAAATAGCCTTAAAGCTCAAGTTCAGCTACCAATTCAGGCTAAATTCGGATTGATTTTAGCTTTTTAAGAAATTTGGGGCACATTTGAAACAGGGGCACCTAACGACGGCTTCCTCCTAAATGCATTGAAAACACTTTTTAGGCTATCCTGAGTACATGCATTTTAAGCGGCGATAAAATATGTATCTGTTCGGTCATCCTAGGGCAACTTAAGAGTTTCCGAAAATACAAGGGCCTCAGTATTATTTTCCTGAAAATCGATAGATGCAATTAAACATATTAGTACGAAACTGAGAATTTTTCTGATTCCTCTCAGGCTCTCCATCACATTTTTGAATCCAAAATTTAAGGTTTCTTTTTTACGAAAAATAGCCTAACCTGAGGAGTGAAATGTGAAAAGTTAAACCTCAGAAAATCGTAGGGAATTTATTAGATAAACTTCGAAAATTGTACGCAAGTGGAATGGTTATCTAGAAATTTTAGGCCGTTATTCTCATGAAATTAAAAATTTGAGGCAATATTTGCTTCTTCGAACAGCTGATATTTTACAGTTTAAACAGCCGTTGGGGGGGTGCCCCTGCGTTAAGTGATGTTTTCTTTCATTGCTGTTTACAGCTGTTTATTACGCTTATTTTGCTCTAGGAAATAATTGCGTCGATGATGTGAATTAAGTCTGTAATCAAGTCAATTTATATCCAAAAGATAAAAGACAATCAACTATACTCTGGTCACCACACTGAACGATGTTAACCGGATTTTGGATAAAACTTTTCCCACACAAGTCTTCCACTGCACATCAACCAGTGCCGTCCAAAATACGTGACCGGCCTGGATAACAGGGACTTTCTCGGTATTTCCCCCGAGTTTTCTACCCTAAGAGTCGCCATTATTTTTTTTTTTGGAAATAGGTGATCTGTCTCGTTGCCATACCAAAGTAACATTACTTCGCCAGACAAGAAGTCAAACTGGTTTGCTATACAACACTTAATAGCTAGTAACAAATTCAGAAGTAGTTAATTGTTAGTTTTCATAAATAGCAATTAAGAATGATGCATTAAATTTTGATTTCTCAAACCTTTTCTCCAACTCTTGAAATTGTCTGGTCATCATACGTACGGTCTTGTTATGGCTTAGTAAGAAAAAGGGAAATTATGTCAGTAAATCCACCATTTTCTTAGTAGTTTGAGTTTACAATAGTGTCACGTAGCCGACATTGAACATTGCCATGTAATAGAAAACGTGGCACTCAAAATGAGATAGCGAATCGCCGAGTTAAGATCATACCTTTCTTCAAGATCTTTCAGCCGGTTTGCAAAGTCCAACAGGTTGGAGGTCGCGTTATTTTTCACAGTTCTTCGATCACGGTACAACTGCGATTGTTTTCCACCAACTTCAGTGCCTTCCTTAGATACGCGATCTTCTTCTCGCGGTTTGCGCGCTAGTTTTTCGTCAAGTGCAAAAATGTTAACCAGAATAGCACAGAACATCACACACACAGCAACGAAACGTATGCTGGTGCGAGGGGTAACCGCTGGTGATGATTTCATTTTAGAGGGACTTTCAGTCTTCAAAACAGAAAACACCCGTTTGTCTATCCTCCTCAAAAAGGTGCTAGGTGGCTGAAGTCAATATCGAGGCTCGGATGGTAGAAAAATCCAGACGAGAATTTTTCGCGCTTGTGACGTAACATCCAAGGCCATCCGAAGGCGGATGTGAGCTTGCAACCGAAACTTAAATATGCAAGGACAACAAGTGAACAGTTTTTCCTATGTTATTGGTCTAGTCATATTAAGTTTGGAGACGTCATTTACGGACAAACTGTTTCGGAGCAAGATTTCGCATTTTTGCTACACAAGAAGCCTGACTCAGGCTGAATCCGGTCGTTAGCGTTTAAAAAGTAGAGGCTAAAGAAAGTGTTGGAATCCGTACCGAGTATATCTTTACTTCTGCCGGCCACAAAATAAGGAAAAATCTGTTAAATTTGCATGTAGGTTAAGCTTATTTACTTAAGCCTCGGAAATTGATAGTGAGGTTTCAAGCTCTCCATTCGGGCCCGCGCGAGAATGCATGTGCGTTACTTTTCATCCACCGAGTTAGAAAGTTTAAAATAACATTTTTTTTCTTTTGTGGCTCTATATCCCGTCTGTACATCTGCCGTAAATTTTAAATTGAGTATCACAAAACCTACCAGGGGACAGGCTGCATCAGAAATGACGTACAAAGCCTCTAAAATTTACTCTGCATAATACTGATTGAGAAAAGGCACGCTTTGTGAAAGTCTAAACAGACAAAATTTGTCAGATTTAATTTTGCAAAATTCGGTAACATAACACAAATTTGGTGCGGCTGTTGTACGTCAGTAAAATCCTTTCTCAGGTTGAGGCAGGATTACCTTTGTATTTGTTGAATCAAAGGACGCTGAATCAAACTACAGAAAATAGGCTGAACACTGTTTAAGAGAGTGCAGAATTTATCTTTAATTAGGACATGGCCACGTGTCACACATGTTCCGGAAAAGGCAGGAGGGAATTGATCGAGATCGGCTCTATTCTTTCGTATCACATTCGTCTTTTAAAAGTATATCCTGATTTTTGATTTATCGTTCTCTGTCGCTCCAGAGGAATAGGGATAAGAATCCTGGGAATGATCTTCCTCTGTTACTATAGTTCATTTGCTACAACTAACTACAACTCGGCAACTACACACCGCGATACAGGTTGTTTAGAGTGATTTTACTTCAGCTGTTTACTTGAACCGCGAGACAGATACTAATCAGTAGTGCTGAATATAGCAAGAGGCAAACAAAAGAATACAATGAAATTAGTGCATAATAGTGCGTAGTATTCTATTATCTATTTCACGGGTCAAGTAAAATCACTCTAGAGTGGTGCGACGCAGGCCAGCCCAGTTGAGACGGTGAATTAGTGTTCGTAAAAGGGGAGGAGAGATTGCTCGCAAGGTTTGTTGTTTTTCTTTGATGAAAACAACCCTTTGCATATTGAACAGAGGTGGAAACACACTATGTCTCATTTGAGATATTAACTTTACAAGTAATCGCATAATTTGGGAAATATGCTCGGTTCCTGTGCGACTCTTGCATGGAAAAAAGAAAACAGAGAAACAGAAGAAATGGTCACCAAACTGCATTTATCCCACACGGTTAGCACATGGTACAAAATGAAAAAGTAGGCTTCTGTCTACTCTTGTCGACCGCAATAAAAGAATAAAAATAAAGAGAAAACGTTCAACTTGTAAAAGTACGGTATTTTAATAGTGAAAGAAACAAAAGGATGCTCTCCCTTAACTCATTTATGACAGACGCGCAAACAGCAAATGAATTGACCACACATTTTAAAACAATTATATCTCCACTGTCTTACCCTAGCTTAGAAAGCTATACCTCATTTGAAAGGGCATACAATAAACTTTCCTAAAAATATATTTTTCCCTCTAGAAGCCCATAATCAGCTTCACGGAAAAAATTTACAAGATACATTTTAGATCTCATAATTTATGCAAAAATTCAAATATCAAACGTGATTTTGCAATGAATAACAAGATAAACGACACTGAGTCTCGGCAATGTTGTTCGCAAATAACAGCTGTCTCCCTCGGATAATTGTGAATAGAGTTTGTTGAAAAATCAAGACATCAGTTTTATTTGCGGTGATGATCTTTTTGGCAGGACCTATGTGCTTAGTAAAGTATAGTAATCATTATATGGAGAAAAACGTAACCTTCACTTGGAAAACCATCTATATAAAAGCTTGGTCATCAACAAGGATTATTTTCACATTTTGGACAGGTTAAGGTAAAAAAAAAAAACACAAGTAAGAACATTGGGCAGTTACTTAGAATCTGATCCATAGAATCAAAAATTGAAATGAATGCACAATGTTTGTTTCTGTTGTGAAAAATAGTCACTGCTCAGAAGCTTTTTGGCCCTATCAGAACTGTCAACACCTTTCCTAGGTCATAGTGATGTAGTTTCTTACATAACTAAGTTGATTCATATTGTGACAAACTTTTTAAGCTGTTTCAAAAATTATCAGTGCAAAGAAAACTTTGAACCACATCATCTACAC